CCTCCCCTTGGCGACACCTCGCTGCTCACCTCCCCGGTGGTGTCGACGGAAGCTTTCAAGCGAAATCCCTTGGCAAAGATGGAATTCCTGTTGCTCGGCACGCATCTGAACTCAAGGCCGGTGGGCGGTTCTCCGGCTGCGCCGGCGGTGGCTTTGGTGTAGCTCTTCCGCTGGCCGTTCTCCATGCTGCAATCACACATGTCAGCAAAGGCAACCTCGCACTTCCGTTCGTACGTCAGTTCTGCACCAACAATGCAGTCCAGCCTTTTCGCGACGGGACCTCCTACCTGGCAGGGTGCTAGGGGTGACGATGGCAGGGTTTAGGGTTAAGGATTCCCCACCTTCCTGGCCAGGGTCATCGCCTTCCCCGCGGCATTCTTCGCTAAGGGCATGACGGGTGCCGCCAGCTTGTACGCGGCGTGGAAGGCGCTCATGTATAACCCAAGCTTTGCGTGCTTGACAGCCAAGTAAAACTTCCCCATATCCTTGGCCATACCAAGGAGCTCCGAATCCAACTGGTCCCATCGCATGCTCGGAGCACGCATGACGCGTTCCCCGACCACGGTGAAGGTGTTGCCGGCGGCTGTGCCGAGCTTCTTGCCTCAAAAGACTTCCGAACCAGACTAGACCCCGAACCCGAAACCCGAAGCTCCCTTATATGGGTGGTTCTCTAAATTAGGGTCCCTTCTAGGAGTAGGGCCCTTTTTATAAGGGTGCCGTACTGCAGTTCAGGAAATTGAGGATCTGTAGAGAACTACCCCATAGGAGCCCTAAGCCCTAAGCTCCCTTATATGGGTAGTTCTCTAAAGTAGGGTCGCTTCTAGATTCCTTATAAGGGTGCCTTACCACATTCGACCCTGAACCCGAAACCCTAAGCTCTAAGCTCCGTTATATAATCTTTTTGGGAGCAATAAGACGAACCCAAGCGCTGTTGGAATCCGAAGGCCAGGCGGCTCACATGTTTCACCGCCTTGGCCCAGTCGACGAAGGATCCTCCGACGGCGGCGACGACTTTACCTGAGCCGCTGTTTCAAACCAGAAGAATCACAAATGGCAAAAAGGATTCGTTTGGAGTCTCGGAAACCCACACCACCCAAACGCTAAAACGGATGCCAGATGTTGACCGAGTTTCCGTTTGCCACGGTGTCAAGGGAGGTGTCGGACGCGTTCGAGTACTCGGCCACCGAGGTTCTCGAGGAGCGGGCGACCAAGGCATGGTGCACGTCGGCAAGGGAAGAGCTCGAGTCCGCCGAGTCTGTGGACTCAAGAACCGAGAAGTTTGACTCCTGCACCAAGGCCCCCATGCAGAGGCAAGAAACTGCAGCCGCAGTGAACTACCCAACCCTACGGCCCTACTCCGTAGCAGCACCTGTGTAAACTTCACTGCAGCAGCCCAGGGCAGCATCGCCCTGGAAGTTCAGGAACTCGATTCGACAGACTCACCAAGGCTCTGCTGATGCACCCAGATCTGAGCCCAACACCCAAGCAAAGCCCAGCATCGTAACCAGGGCCACGCAAATTGCTTCATTGTACTCTGGGAGATATGTAAACTGTGAACGTTGCCTCGCTGCAAGAACAGGAGCCAGACTTTGCGGGACGAAGGAGCATGAGCAGGGTTGCAAAACCGGAAAATTATTCGGAATAGTGCAATCAAGCTTGCACCTATCGCACAAATGCTCACATGCATGACATGACTGTTGACTCACACGCTGACGCAATCGGACATTGTTTTCCCCTCCAGGTTGCGGTCAAGCTCAGCGTGACAGTTCGGAGCTTTCCTCGCAGACAAGCGGGCTCTAAATTTTCTTCCATAGCTCGCACATTGCATCCTAAAGACTCATGACCCCCTGACTATTCTGGGGTTCAGAGGCTTGAGGGTTTAGGGTTTCAGGC